TAAGCCAAGGCTCATTTCAACTGTAACTATGTATCGAATTACTACTTCAATGTGTAAGCCAAGGCTCATTTCAAATAGCTTATTAGACAAGAGTAAATTTATCTCAATTACTGTCGAAAAACCGAGAAAATTCATAATATGTATTGCAAAATCACTTGATCTTTGACAAATTGTTAAATGTAAACATCATAATTTAATATTTCTTGGTCTTCTGCCAAGTAGACAAATGTAAATATTATGATTTTTTGTATTTTTCTGGTTTTATGCCAAATAGTTTAAATGATATAAACGTATAAATGTCCTCATATTGTTAGAGCTTTTTTTAACCCGCTAAACAAGTCTTGTCCCCTTTCCTTTACCGATGACCAATGACCGACAACTGTCCTGTCCTAAATGTATCCCTCCTATCCGTTTAATACTACAATAATCCTATATTCTTGTATTCTCATCTCATCTTGTTAATATAACAATAAATCTTAGTACTAATTTATTTGTATCAATTTTAGGACTAAAACAATTCACATAAACTTCCCTTTATTTCAATTTAATATTTCTTTAATAAAAAAAAGGAAAGCAATCTTTTACGACAATTATCATTGCTAACATTTAATGGTGACCAAAAAAAAAAAAACTAAAAGAAAATTCTGGAATAGCTTTAATGTTACAGTACATTTTCAAATGATATCAAATATTCAAAAATTGATTTATCTAATTTCTTATTTCAAAGAAAACATCTTGCAAGCTATTAATGGCTATGATATTCCTCCAAAAAAGCTATGACATCATTCGAAGAAATTATATATCATTAAAAAATAACTTTATAATAAATTACATTCCGTCATAAGGAATGATCCAGAATGGTAATTAATTGTTAAAATGATACAAAAGTTAGAAGTTATAGGTGAGGATTTAGAATATTCAAGGATTGAAATAATTATTGAGAGATGATTACCGAATTAGATAATTAAATAAAGAATATGAAATGAAGGAAGAATAAGAATTATCATCTTCCATTATGATTTTGAAAGGAAGAAGTGAATATTTAATTAGTTTTAGAGAATATACACAAACAGCTACACGCAGAAATAAGAAATTTATATAAGGTTAAAATTTTACTGATCAATGAGTTCAAAGTTCATTATGATATGTAAAAATTAGCAAGGGTAAAAGAAATTACAGGTGACAGAGATGGGGAAGAAGCAAAGAAATGTCACATAGAATAAAATCAGTAAAAATGTTATATCAATTAAAATTAAAAAATTCAACCAAAAACTTTTAAGAAATGAGTTGACAAACAAGAAGAATCTATTTTGTTCTATAAATTAGAAATATTAGAAAACAATAAACTAAACATAAATATTAAGTTAAAATTAACAATGAAAAGCTTAATGATAATAACGATAATTATCATAATATTGATTTAAACAATAACAAATGAAAATTGTAAATAAACATTTCATTCAATGATTCAGAAAAATGAAGTTATGAGAAAAATCACAGGACAAAACTTCATATGAACTAAGATTGCTGAGATACTGGAATATTACCAGAATACCCTAACACTGTTGTGATACTGAAATACTACCCGAATACCCGAACACTGTTGTGATACTGGAATATTACCCGAATACCTGAACACTGCTGTGATACTGGAATATTACCCGAATACCTGAACACTGCTGTGATACTGGAATATTACCAGAATACCTGAACACTGCTGTGATACTG